GCAGATACAAGCACTGATGACTGACTGCTCACTTCACACACTTACTAAAACTTTACTCTCCACAGAAAGAAAGCTGATATTTGCTATAAATTTATCAATTTTAATAAACTGAACATTTAAAGTTATTTTGGGGATAATGTGCATAACATTAAGGGAATTTTACTACAATGTTATGATATTCTAACAAGAGCACAATTAACTTTTTTACTTTAATAATGTTATAAAATGAATTGGTCAGTTTGTGTACACAAATAGAGGTCTATTCAGACAAGATTTATAAATAAACATTGGTTTCTATTCCAGAGATATTCATCTGATATTATATCAAAATACATTTGTATCTGTAGATGCGTGTTTAACACTGTCATGTGTAATTCTTCCAGCAGATGGCAGCAAAACACTTCTTATTGTAAAGAGGAGCAGACAAGAGTCTAGTCCTTGTGTCTCCACATGAGGGAGCTTCTCACTGTTGAATATTTTTCTGGACAGAAACGGTTAATTTCTGTTTACAGATGCATTATAGCTACAAATCTATTTTTTTTCCATGTAGAGCTAATTTCACAGCACATCATTTTACTCTTTGTCTGCTTCTATAATATATTATAAGACATTGAGTAACAGAATGAAGTAAATACACTAGAAGTGATATTTCTTGTATTTTTATTTGGTTCTCATAATAATCTTTTATACAGAAAAAAAACTCTTGATATGTTGAGATATCTTCAGAGAGAATTAACAGAATTTAAATTAAATTAATTTAGTTTTAATGATTTTTAATGGGCCTTAATTTTGAAAGAATTTTAAAATACTTAATCGGAGTTAAATTTAAGTTACCAGTGTACTAACACATTTTTAGTACAATCCAATAAAACATTTTTTTAATGAAGTTTAGAAGAAAAATGCACAGTATATAATATATACACAGTTTATATTATAAACACTTTTAAAATACATTAACAAATGTAATTCTAGACAACACACTTCAGTTGAAATGAAAGTCAATTATTTTACATGTGCTTTAGTATATTAATCAATACATCAACATAACGACCTCTTTAAAGCATGACAAAAACATAGTGATTTAAAACGTAAGTTTAAGTAAAACCTAAATGCACAATATTACAAAGCACATTTTTAAGTGCACTTAAAGTGTGTTAAGAAACATAAAGTGAATACTCAGTTTAGATATACTCAAGTGGCCTTTAATTTGATGTATATTATAAGGGCACATTAAGCACACTTCTTTCTACCTTCAAGGGTAGAAGGGATATAAACTTATAAACAGACCTGCTTTAGCATCTGTCCTGATTAGCTCCCACTTCTGTTCTCTTGATTACTCCCTGCAAGCATATATCAGCCCTCAGTTTCTTCAGTTTCTGGTCTTGTGTTGATGTTATGATGATGTTTTATGTTTATGCTAGTGTGCTTTTTCGTTTCGGAGTTCTTTAAAATGTATTTGTTTCTATTTCATCTGCTCCTTTGGGATATTTACACAGTTACCGTTAAACTAATACACATAAAATAATATTTAATGCAGTTCTGTGTAACTCGTCCAGCGCTGTCCATTAATGACGACAACATCATTGTTTAGTGTGAACATTGTTCTCACACACATTACAAGCTCTGAAACATTAAACTGATAAAGTGACATTTTTATCTGTACAGCCCTTAAAGGAACAGTGTGAAAAATAAATAAAAAGCAAACATATATTGTAGAAACAGATTATATAATGACAGAACTGCAGTCATCATCACACACTGTTCCCCACTGACCATCATGATGAGATACTGCCACACACCAACTTCACTAAAGCTTCACGTCTTTAAAGTCTGTACAAAGTTAACATTATTTCTCTCAATAAATGATGTGTGTATTTTATTTCCTGATTGAGCAACATCTATTTCAGTCTCTTCAAGACTGCACAAATTCTATGGTATTTTACTGAATTACAGTTTCCATTGGAGTAAAATGTTTTGTATGTAATTATTAATTTAAGCAATGTTTAAATCATTAAGTGCTTCTGCATACTGTTAACGAAATCATTTTTGAAACATTTGCAGTTATCCTATGGTACTAATAAAAACAATATTACAACAACAATAACATAAGCACAGTGAATAACTGTACACGGTGCATGCATTACAAAGCATACATATTTATTCAGATTTCAGAATGAACACTTTGACATTTGTAATACATATGTTGAGATGTCTCGTTCAAATGTTCGCTACTGTAATGAATATGAATGTGATTTTTTTAATAAGCAGGGGAAATTACCAACATTAAACAACCATTTACAGGCTTACGACATGTAAACTTGATGTAAACATGTATATTTATGTTATTTGTTTCTGCTTTTTTGGCCAGGTCACTCTTGTAAAACGTTTTAATCTCACTGAGTTTTTATCCTGGTTAAATAAAGTATGAATGAATCAGTAAATAAAAGAGTTATTATATTAATTTAAAAGGAAAGATTACTGCTCATGTCTGCTGTTTGTAAACTTAAGTACATTCTACGGTGGGCGAGAGAGAAATGAAAAAACACATGCAACTTAAGAAAACATCTTCATCAGTTTGACAACACACATGCTGCAAATACTCACAACACAAACAATAAAGAAATGAGCTGCAAAAACAGAAACGTGCTGCAAATAGGCACAGACATCAGAAATGTTTAGGTGAAGCGCAAAGTGACTAAAACGGCTGGGGCATGCTGATCAATGTTTGCTCTGAAAGGTGAGATTTATTTTACCATACTTCCCTTATAAAAATTAACCATAGCCTTAAAATTAATTAATTAATACATTTATTATATAAAAAGTACATAAAAACAAAAAAATGGTTACTAGTTAAACCATGGTAACCATGC